CCAGTTTCTACGGAACAGGAAAGCAAAAAAATTTGTCTATACTCACTACTGCCCTGTAGGTTTCCATAATAAAGACTTAAGAATTTCTCTTCATAGAATTATAGAAAAGGGTCTGCTGCTTCATCATATCTGAGTTCAGAGTATCAGCGTGTATAGCTTTGTCGCTTCATCGGTAATGCGTGACCAAGTACGGGCATAAACTGCCGAATTCACACGAAAGTATGTCGTCAATTTTTTGTCACAGCAAAAATAACTTTCGCATGGAAACTAAGTGTGATGTAGTCTACAGAACCACTAAATATTACGGTTCTGCCTTGAAAGAAAAAAAAAGATTCAAACGCAAGCTTTATCATCATGACCTCTTTACTGGAACGTACATAAATTACTTATTATTTAATATCCAATATCTCAACATAGACACCTAGAATAGCACTTTGTCTAAAGACACAGTAAATTTAGCTTTGCTATAATGAAGTCTCGCCGTAGTACAACGGCAAGGCTTGTACAACGAAAATGCCTTTTGTTGCTCACACTATTTTCATTATTATAGGTGACGCTTCCGGACGGCATAACACCATATGTCATTTGAAAGCGGAGATAATAACCTTTTTGAATTAACACAATTCAAATTTATTTGCCCTAAGCGCAGCTAGCACAGTGTGTCAGCAAACAATGCGTAATATGCAGAACAGTTGTCGCCAGAGGTTCCGACACCAGCGGCAGCACAAACTCTCCGCGTGCCGATGGTGGCACGCCAATGGTTCTTGGTCTGTGTACTACCCGCCCTAAATATAGTGGACCATACTACTTCCGTCCTTTTCACCTTGATTGGCCACTGCCCTTAAGACTTTATTCTAGGCCTAGACTTCCTGTCGAATCATTATGCTCTTATTGATTGTACAATACGGTGTCCTTCAGCTAGAGCTACCTAATCAATAGTCACTGCTCTACATACTGATCCGCTGCCTCACCTGTGCTCTCTTCAGGATGTGCGTCTGTCACCTCAGATAGCCACCTACGTCGTTTTGACTGCACAGTCACAGGTTCCCGATGGCGAAAATGTCCCCCTTTTCCTCGCTGACGTCCTTTTTGAGCCGCAACGTTGCCGCTCTCCATACGCTTGTGACTATCACCGACAACTGAACTTTGCTTCCACTCCTCAATTTCAGCTTGTGCCCTCAAGTGCTTCTCTTGGCATGTTCTTGGCGAATATAGCTACTGCTGACGAATTCGAAATTTGTGGCTCTCACCACTGAGACTGATTTACTTTGTTCTCCGGTAGCTGACAGCAACTCTTCTCTGCCGGATCGTTTCTCGAAGATGATTGCACCCGACCTCAATTCTTGCGCAAGTCAAAGACATCCGTCGCCTTGTCGCATCATATACGGACATTTTTTTTATTTTGATGACAGACCTCTAGGGCAAGCATCTGCAGGTTCAGCACCGTATAAACACGGGTGACGCCAGTCCTATACGCCACCGCCCCTTAATGTCTCCCACACTGGGCGCAAAGTTATCCGACGGAAGTTGACAAGATGCCCAGCAATGGTGTCATCGAACCATTAAACAGTCCTTGGGCCTCCCGTCTTGTCGCTGTTAAAAAAAAGACGGCAGCTGGCGCTTTTGCGTTGACTATCTCCACCTCAACAAGATCACGCGAAAGACGTATACCCGCTACCACGCATCGATTATGCGTTAGACTACCTTCACGGAGCTACATACTTTTCGTCTATTAATCTTCGGTCCGGCTTCTGGCAGATTTCTGTCGATGTAATGGAACGCGAGAAGATGGTTCACATTGCACCTGATATTTTATACCAGCTTAGGGTTATGTATTTTGGACTATGTAACATCCAAGCCACATTCGAACAGATGATACTCTCTACTACATGGTTATAAGAGGTCTACTTACCTCTGTTACCTAGACGATGGGGATAGTCTTTTCATCTACTTTCGACAGCCATCTGACCCGTCTGGCTGAAATTCTCGCAGTCTTCAGAACAGCTGTGCTCAACTTAATTTCAAGAAATGTCAATTTGGCCACCGTCAGATTACCATGCAGGGTCATTTTGTAAACGCCGATGGCATCCAATCAGATCCCGAAAAGATCCGCCGCGCCGTCCACAACTTTCCGGTGCCCCATTCTACCCCTGACGTCCGGATCAAGCTTCATCAGCCCATGCTCTTACATTTATCGTTTTTGAAATACTTTGCCGACGTTGCTAGGCCACTCACAGACCTGGTGAAGAAGAATACCACAGCCTCAAGGGCCCTGAGCCGACTCAAGTGTTCACCGCTCTCATTGGTTATCTAACTACGCCGTCCATACTTGCCCTCTTCAATCCATCTGCTGCCACAAAAGTACGCACTGATGCCAGTGGCCACGGTATCAGTGCAGTTCTCGCTCAGCGACACCATGTATAGACATTGCGTGATAGCTTATACCAGTCGCCTGCTTCCTCCCCCCGAGAAAAATTATTCCATCACCGAGAGAGAGAGTGGTTAGCTTTATTTTGGGCGGTAGTCAAGTTCTGGCCTTATTTATACATATAGCCACATGTTCTCCGTCGTTACGCACCACCACAGCCTCTGCTGGCTAACGTCTATGTAGGACCCGACTGGATGTCATGGTAGCTGGACTTTGAGGCTCCAGAAATTTTCGTTTAGCATCAGTCTTTTTTTTTCACAACGACAACAGGGGAGGCCCAAGGACTGTTTGATGGTTCGATGACATTTTTGCTGGGCTTCTTGTCAACTTCCTGATAATACGGGCAAGACAACAACTACGAATTCGTGCCCCGGTGGCACTCTCGTGTCTAATTTGCATGGTATAATCGTGACAAAGAACAAGTTCAGCCATGGGGGACGATGCAAGTGTTGTCGCGAAAGCAAAACTGCCGTATTCCACAACTACACACCCTATCTGTGGCGTCTAAACGATCGCAGCGCTGACATCTTAGTCAATACCTCTCTAAATTATTAGCAGCACTGAACAAGTCTGAACCAGCACACGAATCAATTTACGGTGCATTTGCCAAGCAGGAGGGATTGAAAAAGGACTGAATATTTACTGGTGACAGAATAAGGTGTCATAAAAAGGCAACTTTACTAAAAAAAATCGGCAGACCCCACGTACCTGGAAATTAACGTTATGAGAAGCATGCCGAGGGACGGTCACCGTGTTGCAATTTTTTTATTGAGCGACACGTCATGAAATGACGCTAATATATGTGGACAAATGTTGCACGCACAGACATATGAGGAGAGTTGCAAATGTTGATATAACCAGTTCTCTGCACTTGCGCAACGGCCCGCCGTGGTGGTCTAGTGGCTAAGGTACTCGGCTGCTGACCCGCAGGTTGCGGGATCGAATCCCGGCTGCATTTTCGATGGAGGCGAAAAAGCTGTAAGCCCGTGTGCCGATTTGAGTGCATGTTAAAAGAACTCAGTGATCGAAATTTCCGGAGCCCTTCACTACGGTGTCTCTCATTATCATATGGCTGTTTTGGGACGTTAAACCCCACGTATCAATCACTAGCGCAACAATGCAACTGTAACATGCGATTACTAACAGGCTGGTATGAAGCGCTCATGCTTGCAAGGATGCTAGCCCTGGACACGGCTACATAAATCAACTTCAGCGAATGACAACTAACCACAGTCGACGTTAACCCGGCGTGACGACTGTATTAAAGGAGTATATATGTAATGTTTGTAAAATAGAGTAGGCAGCACTGAAATCACTGTTGAGGTTTCACGAAGATTAACATCTATTGGAAAAGTAGTTCTGAGACCTGGTGTAGCTCTGTAGTAAAATGCTTCATTGCCACGCAGAATCCTTGGGCTCGATTACAGCAGGGACCCTGACATTAATTCTTTGCATTCGTCAGATCAACACTACCGATGTCGTTTATTGCTTAACGCTCACGCGTTAAGATTGCCCATGTGTGTTCTCGTGGTTCCTGGGTAGATACTAAGTCTCAATCACCTGCGGCACATACCCGCATACCAGCAGCGCATACCCACCCGTGGGTATGTGCCACTGTCTGGTGGGAAGTGTTTGACGACGTACGCGACGGTATTGTGACATCATTCATGTCTTGACGAGTGCGTCATATTCATCAAACCATCTTACCCTACCATGCTAATTCTGGTTCACGCCAAATAAAGGGGTGACCAATGAGAGCACACAAACGTAAGCAGATAGATAGATAGATAGATAGATAGATAGATAGATAGATAAATTCAAAATCGCCATGGTTCGCTAAGAAATGCTTCGCATTTAAAATTTTAATCACATCATAAGATGCACGCAGATCGCGCCGAGAGTACACAATAGCGGTGGCGGTGCACCGACATCTCGGCGCACACCTCTACCTACAACCACGTCTCTGCAAAGGTGCTTTGCGATTTGAACATAATTTTGTATTAATTAGGTGATATACATCTACAGGCAGACATGATGGCGAAAGTGGCCGTAGCGCTGTAAATAGTCAAGTAGATCCTCCGCGAGAACGGTAACAACAAAAGTGTTTATTTTGACAGTTCTGCATGGGCAGTGTCTGGCTTTCGTCCTGACGAAGACCAGACTCTGGCTGAAATTGTCGAAATAGGCGCTTCCGTAGGCCAGAGTCTGGCTAAAAACTGTCGAAATAAACATTTACATTGTTAGTGTTCTCACGTAGGACCTTATTGTATATATATATATATATATATATATATATATATATATATATATATATATATATATATATATATAAACCACTTGTGTGTTAACAGGGGAAGTTAAGTTGAAACCCAGGACCAAGCCTCCATTTTTTATTGAACATGCGCGCATTTCTACGAAGTGATTTCACTCTGCAGTATCCAACATTTGCGTGATACAACGCGTCAAATTCAGTCCCATACATACACTTCAATATACAACAGCTGCAAACATATCGCACTGTGTCCTAACACACGATGGCGCTGCAGAGAATCCACGTTGCGTACACCTATTGCTACGCCCAAAACGAGCATTTCGACTTGGGGTTCATGGGCGCCCCTTTAGAGCAGGAGAACGCGGCCGCAAACTCGGGCATGTTTCGCAGTGGCACAATGCAGCGAGAGTGGCCGGGCCAGTAGCGGCTCGTGGGTCGCCTCTTGGCGATCAGGTCGCACCACTTCAGGCAGTGCGCCACGAAGAAAGTCTGCTCGGCGGTGAGCCCCACGTCAGGCACCACGGCCAGTCGCTCACGAGGCTGAAGGCGCCTGTAGGCCGAGTACGCCAGCTGGAGGCCCGTGAAGTCCGCGAAGCCCTCAGAGTCGGCCTTGTCGTCAACCAGGACCATGGCTCTTTCCGACTCTGCCTGGGACAGGCGTCCGGTGAAAAGGGCCTTCAGCTTATCCGCAAACTACTCAGCTGTTAGCCGATTGCAGGGTTACGAGATGCGTAAAGACGATTGGGTGAGGCTGTGGCGCCACCTGGAGCACTTTTCTAGACCATACTGTGGACATTATCATACCAATTCTATTTATTTGTACATTATCACCATCATAATTCGTTGGTTATGTATCATCATCGTGGTCGACGTATGAGCATCGTCATTGTGGTTTCACCGCAGCAGTCGGATGCCTGGTTTTTGGGCCAAATAAAAGTAATCCCAGCGAAGAATACAAACACATAGCAATTGCTGAGCTTAGCAACCACATATGGCTTTACTGCTAGTGTAAACTTGGATGGCAGCGTGATTTGGCATGTTGGCTCTTCAAATGTTTTGTTTTTGACAAGCATAAAATCATAAACGTATCTATCACGGAAAAAAAAACCTAACATAACCTATAGGGAGAGTGCTTTTTTTTGGCCCGCCTCGTCGACGGCCCTTGCAAACAAATATCTGTCAAATGTGCTGCCCACAAGTCGCCAACCATGTACAGTTTCAGCAAGCTGCTTGATAGCACAATTATCACCTTTAAAAATGGTGGACGCGGAATTTTCAGTGTTACTTTATTAGCAATAAACGGACACCCCATCAAGCGTTGGTGTTGCCAGTGTCGTTGTAGGTGCCGCCGTTGTGCTGTTCCTGTATGATGCCCATATTTGGCACGATAAAAGGCACCCAAAGGAACGATATGTCTGTGTGCTCAAAAGGAATGCACATGTGAATGCATTCTATTCCAGCTAGTTTTGATGCATGCCCTGCTTCATTCTCTTGCAACAAAAAAAAACAGGCTTTCTTCATAACACCAAATGGTAGCTTCTTCTAAACGCCGTTTTTAAACATTAGACGTGTGCGAAAGTTCGAAAATTTCAAATGAAGAATTGTATAGCATTGCATATTCAAAACACCAAAGTTTTTGTCTACTATTTTTTTATATAACCTGTACGGACGGGAAAACACCGTATTACCAAAGCGCTCAAACAGCGAGGGGTCTTTTTTACTAGTTTTAATGACGAGGTTACCGAGATAACATGCAGCGTCAGATTTTAAGTGACTAACGACACTTTTCTTATCGTTGGATGGAGGCGTTATTGCTTAGAACCGCTTTTTCGTCGAAGCAAACTTGTCGCCTCTGTACGCCATCATCACCATGTAATTGCTATTGGGGCGGTGGGGTTATGGTTGCATTAGCTTGCAGAAGTGTTAGCTTGTACACGCTTGCACGGCTAACACCAGACGCAAGTGTCACGTTCATGCCAACTTTTTTGGAGATCATGTATTCAACAATGATATTTACCTTCCTTTGCTACTAAGGCCAAGATGTTGTTTTTTATCTCTAACATTAAATGCTTATGTCAAATAACCGTGTTTGGTTCAACATATTTTAATTGATCTGGGTCAGTTTTATTTAAAGTCTCGGGACAAGGAGCCTCATTTGGAATGCTGTAGTCTCTGCTTTATATCAATCTTGTGTTACTAAATAGCTCGAATGCGTTAGTAGCTGGTGCGTACAACCTTACATTAGTTTACATATCTTTAGTTGTTCTTGTCTGTTCGTAGCATCGCCTTGTTGAACTTTTTGTGAGTATTTTTTGGAGGTTAGACATTATAAAACATAACTGTTACAAAACAGTTGCCTTACTATTCATAAATTATTCCAATAGTGCTTGATTCATATTTGTAATCGTATCGGTATCATAACTATTCGATTCACGATTGATTCGTTGTTGAACTTAACTAAATCACACACCCTTACCAAATGCATAACATGCACTCCTTGTTGGGCGATAATAATAAAATATTGCGCGGGGCTTAGCGTCCCAAAACCAGCATATGATTAGGAGAGACGCCGTAGTTAAAGGCTCCGGAAATTTCGACCACTCCATAACAATACCAGACATCTTGATTTTAACTCTAAAAAATATGGTGACATGAAATATGGCAGAAAAAGTGCGTCCATAGCTCCGTTCACTTGCTCACTATACTGCGCTATGCATATGCGGTGTTGTTTTTTAAGCAATACAGTTTTTTTTAGAAACTGTATTAGGTAGACACTTATCTTCGCAGCCATTTTAAAGGCCAAATCGGAAAGATTTCGCTACTAATTAGATCAGTCAGAAGTTTTGAATAAACCAGTTTATTATCAGTTTTGGGGTGGCTGCAGTGTTGATACGGCGAAGTTGTTCTACGTCACAAATTATGGCAAGCCTAGCTTTGAAAAATGAAAAATCTCTCGAGTATTTTCGAAGATCCATGGTCGAATTTCCAGACGCCATTGCGACGCCGGAGCAACAAGAACTGAACGAATTGGATGCGCCAAAATGTACCAGAAGGGCGGTCATTGTGCTGCGTCACACGCGAACTTCCCTTTACGTGATCCCACAGAGACCGCCGTGATGCACGAGACTATAATCTGGCTCCGTTTCGTTTTCTCACACTTCGCGCATCGTGCAGAGGCTCTCCACGTTCCAGGGCTCATAAAGCTCTTTTATCCGGGAGACGCCACATGTAGGCGGCATCTTGCCAGGTGACCGGACCTCGGCCTTTCACCACAATATTCGAGCCTTGCAACTTGTAGAATTAAGTTAAGATTGCAAAGAATGAGAAAACCGTTGCACACCACGCGCGAAGAATGATGTGCTCTGCTAGCATGACACAACGTCTGTCGCGCGACGCGCCATAATTTGACTTGCGTTAAGAGAAAACTCGCGCGTGACACAGCACAGGGACCGCCCGTTCAGCGCACCCAGTGCGTTCAGTTCCTCTTTGTCCGGCATTGCGGTCTGCAAATTCGACGATGGATCTTAGAAACCACGCGTGAGACCGCCGATTTTTAAAAACTAGGCTCGCCATAATTTGTGACATAGAACAACTTCGCAATATGAAAAACGCCCTAAAACTGATAAAGTTAATTTGAATACTTTAGTGACGAGTCTCCTAAAGCCGTGGGGGTTTTCATGCATGTCTTTTGTGACCGGTTCGTAACTACCTAGTTGTATGACTCACTCAGCAGGTAGATAGCGCTAGTCTGAGTGACTGACTGAAGACGAACTGATGTACGTACGGATGAAACTAATTGCCAATGACTGCATCGTGCAGCACATGCTTTCCAAATACGCACTCAGATGTATCCATACGCAACCTACCATGATCCGAGGGACGTGCATAAACTTAGTGTTTGCAAACTTGCCACTGAATGCAGCCAGTACAAGAACCTCTCTCACTTCATTTCACGGAGCATGAAGCCGTAATAACGAAGAGACCTCGCAATCTAGACGCCGTGACAACGAAAAAATGAAATGAACTAACGGAGAAATGAAAAAAAAAACAATTGAACAAAAGCAAAATTAAAGTTGATTTGTATAATAAGCGTGCAGGCTTACTCTTTACGTATTTCTATTGATGTAATGGGCTAACTTTTCACGGGAGAATTACGGTTTACCGATGATCTCCCCCTTTCAAGCTTCGCCCACTAATCATCATTCATTCCGTGGATATGGTACGATTTTCTTTCTTTAATAATCTTTACTGAGTAATCTAAATAGTGGCAAAATATTTCCGCCCAGGCCTAGAAATTAGTTGCGAAGATGGCAAGTGCCGAACAATTATAACAACACACTGAATATTATATAGTATAACCAAAGGCAATAAACTACTGATTATTAAAACGCTTGTCCTATTGCCTGTCACGCGTTCCCCTTTTGTTTAGGACTGAAACAAAGATTTAGTCCAACGTCGATACACGTCCCACGATAATTTTCCGGTAGCGCTTGAGCTACTAAAAAAATCGAGAAAAGAACAGTTGAAAAGACAATGCGAAAGGCAACGTTTCGAAAGGCAGTGTACTGATCGAACAGTAGTGTTACGACTGACGCAAGAATTGGGAAAAGAAGCTATAGAATCATGAACTAAGAACGACATTACACATTGCCCATATCTGCTTGAAAATGTTATTTTGATAATATAGATGGACGAGCACCAAGACTGCAGAGTTGCCGGAAGTAACTTCATTCCTTCTAACGTGCACCACAAGAGTGAGCGATGGCTGCTGCCTTACCTGCTTGTAGGCTTGACGCAAACAGAGCACCCTTTGCTGGTACTCTTGTGCGGACAGACTGTCCGTGTTGAGAATGCGGCTACCGAGGGCGTCCAGGAGTATGCCATTCACGTCGTATCCGTGCATCATCTCATGACCAACTACCTGCGTAAGTTTCGCAGAGAGGCATTTGCGTATGCGTCTTCATAATAGTATTTCTTCACTTATCTTAATGATACTATATTCGGTGACAACTTTTCTTGGCACTGAAGGGAAAGCTGTAGAGGTGGAGCTTCTGCACATGTAGCACTACACGAAGTAGTCTGATTTGGCGCGCGTCTTGTAACGCTGTGGAAAGTGACGGGGGTAGACCATCAGCGCTTAATGTATAGACCTTTGCATCATGCAAAGAGGTCCGGTTAGGCAACCAACGCATTTCTCTTCTCTGGCATGCAGGCGACGGCTTGTAGGGTGTGTGTTTATGCTGGTATGTGTGGTGTTATTGAGCATATTGCCGTGTATTAAGCCAAGCTGCAGATTTTGTTTTTCTGCATTGCTATTATGGCCAGGAAATGGTCATCGGAGTACTACTGCGCTGTTTTTGGGTGCAGTAACAACTACAGAAAAAGGAAACTGCTGTCGGAAGAAGTATGCCATGTGCATCACCAGACCGGAGATTTGTGGCTGTGGACTCTTCAAGTTGCATCGTTGTCCTGTTGACGAGGAGCAGCGGCTTCTATGGCTTGCAAACTTAAACAGGAAAGACTTCGTACCTTCCGCAGGTACTCGCGTATGTTCAGAGCACTTATTCTGAGGCGAACGAACCGCAACGACTTCGACACCGATGCTCAACCTCGGCTATGAACGGAAGGATCGGAGCCTACAGATATTCCAACGATGACAATATTTCCCTGATAAACAGCATCTCTATTGCAGGTCAAAATACCACGGCAGCGAATAATGAAGCAAGAGCTTGTGCCAACAAAGCGTTGGTCACCAAATGGTCTGCTGTGCAGCGATACAAGTGCACTTAAGATCGTGATAAAGAGCTATCTGCGTTACATTTGTCGGCGGTGATTCACTCAGTTCCGTAGATTGCGCAAATATGTCAATAGCTACAAAAAAAGCAAATAGAAAGATCAATCCAGATTGGGCTCGGTCGAGGCGGAAGAAGAGCCCGAGTCACTTGTTGGGGTGCATGGCCAGTTAATTGCTTCAACCACCGCTTTTTGCAGAAAATCAGCAGTGACCGACACCATGATGTTCTCAAGCATAGTCATACCACAAGCTGGGTACTTTGTTCTATAATTGAAGCGTCAACGAAAGCTTGTGGCCAACGCTAGATAGCAGCTCCGGACGGCGTCAGTGTACAAGCCGCACACTCGAAACTGGACCGCGCAGGTCCCAGTTTACTTGTCGTCCTTGTTCTCAATCGCAAGATATTACTCAATTATAAATCACCAACTGGCCCAATCGTCTACATTGATTAGCTGCGTGACAGCAGTATTGCTTATCCGTGCACTGGAAAGCACCGCACCAAAAAAGATAAAAAGGGGATGTGCAGGCACGTCAGCGTCATTTAATGTAAGAGCTGTATTCAAGTGCACACTCGTAAAAAGAAACCAGTGAGCAAGATACACTCACTCCTTCAGAGTTGAGAAACAAGTTAGACAATAGTTAGTGCGCAGTTAATAAAAAAAGGTCAGTGCCACGAAATGAAGACGAACAACTACACTCCAATGCACGGCTTCATGCAAGAGCGGTAGCCGATGCGATGGCGTGGCGTAAATAAACAGATCTTAGAAGAGCGGATGACTAAAGCTCAACAAAGATATTCACTATGCTCTCGAAGTGTTGTTGCTCATGCTGGAAAAGAAAGACCTAAAAATAGTGCGCATTTTTAGAGCAGGTAGTCGGTGCTATGGATATACTCAAAGTCGGTGCTGTTAACGTGGCGGACTCCTTCGCGGCGCTGTATAAAAGTAAATTGTCCCTTAACAATTTGAACCTCGTCAGAACGTCTCATAGACTCATTTTCAAAGGAACCTGCATCACTTCTGTCAAAATTCACCGAGTAAAAACTAAGAACAAACGACAAAACCACAGCCGCACACTTATCTTCAATGCAGACAGTGAGCATTTCGCATGTCAGACGGGTTGCCAGATGTACAAAACGAGCGCTCAAAAAAGGGCGCGCCGCCAAATTCTCGCGTCGAAGCGCCAAGAGGTCAACGATAAAAAAAAAGAAAACAAGCTTCCAAAGACTCCCCGGGCGCACGTCCTTCTCCCCTCGGAAGCGTGGATTCGCCGACGAACCTCCTCTCATCGGCGCCCGAGCAAGCCCTGGAACATTCTAGATCGAAAGGGGCGTGGTGATGCCGGGTTGAGTCATCCGTCACGGACGGCCCCCGTATCGTCTCGCCCTTTCCCCCAGCCTTCGCTGCGTATCGCACCGACGAAATGATGAGAACTTACTGGAATCTCGCGCGGAAGGTATTTAATCGCGCAGCCGAGATGAGAGATCAGCAGAAGAAGGAAGTTAACGCCAGAGTGTGTAGGGTATCCCGCCACGTCTGTCGGTGAAGGTTTTGTCCTTAGTGACAAAACAGGAGAAGAAGAAAGTATGCGCCAGAGTGCGTAGGGTGTACCGCCTTGTGGGCGAAGCCTTTTGTCTTCCGTGACAAAGGAGGAGAAGAAAGAAGTGGAGAAGAAGAGGATTTTGACCTGGGGAGTGAAGACTCGAGCTACAGGCAAGAGTGTGTGTCTACCGCTATCGAGCGAAGACGCGTGGCAACAGCTGCGTATTGGAAGCCGACGTGCTTCCGGCGAAGAAGTTTGAAGCTTGGAGAGTGGCCAATTGAAGACGTGAGGTTTCCTGGAAGAGAAACTTCGGGGGCAGCGGGACGACAACAACGCTGGACTTTGAGTGAGTGGTTCTCGGAAGAGTATCATCCAGACTTTTGTTCCAAGAACTTTGGACTGAATAGGTTTTCTATCTCTTTAGTCTTTAAGGGTCTTGGTTGTTCGATGCATGCGACTGCATTGTAGTGCGTATTGTTGTCTGTGTCTGTCGTTTCGAGTGTGGCTGATTGTACTGTGTAGTACAATGTTTGATTCGTGACATATTGTATTAAACTATTGTCGAGTGTGCGTACTTGTGTATCGTTTTGATCTGCCATAGCTGAGAATATAATTTTGTTTTGTTTATCAACTCTCGGCTCTGACTTGTTCTTTGGGCCACTGCCGGTGTCCGCTGGCGCGCCAAATAGGACCACTTCTAAATTGTCCTCGCTTTCGTGGTGCGGTTCGGGGGGCCGATACTTCGGCCCTTGGAATTAGCCCGGTGATCGCCTCTCGAATTAACGGGACCGTGTGACAATTATTCTGGCGTCCACGACAAAACCTTTTAGGTGCACAGTGTGTCCAAAGTAGTGAGAAAGAGCCTCGAGTTGTTGATAGTGCTATCGGAACAATTTTGTGTGTTGTTCAGAGTTCTCGTTAACGAGAGCAGTGGAGTGTTCCGATAGACTGATTTAGGCAGATACTTTTTTGCACGCGGCAAGACTTCATTTGCGAGACAAAATGGATCTCGAAAAGTTAGTAGCTCTTGGTGAGAAGATGGGTCTTTCTGGCGCCGAACTACGGAAGTGGGTAAGCCAGAAGGAGAAAGAGGTGGTGGAGAGAGAGACGTTGGCAGCTGAGATAGCCAAGGAATAATAAGCAGCTGAGTTGGAGAGAGAGAGGTCAGCAGCTGAGAGAGCCAAGGAAGAAAAAGCAGCTGAGTTGGAACGAGAAAAGTTGGCAGCCGAAAGGGCGAGAGAAGAAAGACAAGCGGAGATGGCTGAAAAGGAACGGCAGTGGCAGCACGAATTGGAACTCGAGCGGCTCCGTTTGCAACAGCGAAGTGAAACTCCGGTCCAAGCTAGAGTTGAAAGCAGCGAACGGGAGGAACATGGCTTCCACTTGAACCCAAACAAGCTGCTCGTAGCGTTTCATCAAAGGAAGGACGACCTTGACGCGTACCTTCACAGATTTGAGACGTTTGCAAGGAGCCAGAATGGGCCGGAACATTAAGTGGCAACTGCTTTGAGCATTTGCTTGAGTGGTGAAGCGCTCAGTGTGTACGATAGGCCGACACCGACTGATGCAGCCAACTATGCAAAGGTGAAAGCTACTTTGCTGATGCGATTTAGATTTACTGTGGAAAGTTTCCGGGACAGATTTTGGACAGGAAAGCCAGCTGATGGTAAGACGGCGACGCAGTATGCCGCCCGACTTTGCCATTATTTCGAAATGGATTGAACTTTCAGGGACAGCTCTGGAGTACGATGAACTTAGAGAGCTCCTATTTAGAGAACAATTTCTTACTAGTTGCCACCAAAGCCTATCACTGTACTTGAAAGAAAGGAGAGTTAGGTCACTCTAAGACATGCTTTAATTGGCTGATCGATTCTTGGAAGCGCAAGGTGGAACTAATTTGGCCAAGGTCAAGAAGGAGTGTCCCGAAGATTCGAAAATTCTGGCACCCGAACAAAAGAAGCGTGCACCGGAGAGTGTGCCGCGATGTTTTCTGTGTGACCGAGTCGGTCATCGCGCGAACAACTGTCGCACTAACTTTACGAGTCCCACGGTCGTAAAATGTTTCAAATGTGGTCAGACTGGGCACAAAGCAGTCGCATGTCGTAATGGAGTGAGTCAAACTCACCAGATATCCTTTTTAACGACTGTACGTCGAGCGAGTCAAAATGTTGTTACGGTGATGTGATGTATAGTATTGTACAATTGTTGTAATGAGAGAACTTTGTTGTACATTTGTATTGTTTGGAATATGCGATGGACTGTTGTACTCATGTACCTGTGGTTATATTTCATGTGTTGTGTGATTAAATTACAATGTACAATTGTATGAGTGATCTATTGTGAATGTTACGTGTCATGAGCGACGGGCTATGTTAGTCTTTGAGAGTGTGGGGACTGTTCGCGCTCGTTTGTGTGGTTTTGAGTACTATGAGATAATATTTTTAAAGTGGGGGGCAGTGTCACAAAACGAGCGCTCAAAAAGGGCGCGCCACCAAATTCTCGCGTCGAAGCGCCGAGAGGTAAACGATAAAAAAAAGAAAACAAGCATCCAAAGACTCCCCGGGCGCGCGTCCTTCTCCCCTTGG